CGGATGCCAACACAACACATGTCTTTAAATTTTCAAATGATAAATTATTTCTTTGCCATTCATGGTGTCATTCACAAATTTAAAGAAATACTTCTCTAAATCAGTCTTAGGGTGTGTGTATCAATGACATATTGAATTAGATGCATGTCTTTAGCCATGTTGTATGTTACAAAAGACAAGTACGTGTGTTTTAGTCTACTTCAGTCCAAACTACATGTACATGTTTAGCTTTACATGGTGTATACTACATGCTTGATTATGTTTCTCTATGTACACAATATTTTTGAAACAGACGACTTATTTGCATTTGTGCTTGCATGAATAGTTTTGGAAATTCGGATAATCATATTCAACAAGTACACGTTTTTCTCGTGCGATAAGGATTGTCCTTACAGTGATCGCGTAGATGTTGTGCAGTTTCCAAACCTTGTTCTAAAAGTAACCGATATCGTCTGTATGAGGTATATCTTACATTTTCTTCTATCCATCTAATTTGCTTTTCATTTCGGCAACTAACTTTATTTACTGACACGCTGACATACATTTCTGCCATGGAAGTTCTTAAATAATACCTAAGTACATTTTGTATGAATTCGCTTTAGTATTGTCATAATCTGCATTATTTTGTTCTTTTTTTTAAATTTTCCTTTTCAGCAGGGAATTTGTTCTTGGTCATTGCAAATCGATTAGGGATCATATTAAAGTCCCGTCGAATTTCACTTTTCGTCACGAGGAACACGTCATTATTGCCGAACAATTCTACCTCTAAACCGGATATTGTCATTGATGCATGATAGTATTATTTGATAAAAACAATTCAGGTACAGGTCTTTCTGGTTACCTCCTATGAATTTGTATGAAATGTATGTGCAATAATATCAATAAATGACAATGCTTTTTTTAACTTGATTTGTTGGCCTGTCTTTTGCACGTGTTGTAATTTTCGATATTGTAGTCAGGTAGTCGTTTTGTGCATCAGTAATCTGCCTGAAATTTTTGATACTTGTTTCAAATATGACCTTTTGTTATCATTTGAAAACGTAGAAAATTTAAATATTTCTCTGCTAGAATATCTGATTGTTTATTTATAGTTTTTATATCTTAAAATTTTAGATATTTATATAGTGAAAAAGTTAAGCAATTATTGCCATCTAGAAGTTAGTTATTGCTTTCCATCATTTCATTTTTCTTTCTTTTTAATGTATAACTGTAAATTTATGTTCAAAACAATTTCTGTTCTACTTTTGTACGCCTGACATAAAGGGGAGTGTATTATATTAAGATGAGGCCTGTTAGTGTGTCCGTCTGTTTGTTATTAGTTTTACTGTCTATACTCCATCGTTAGCAAAGTTTGTGGATGGCTTGCATATGGGACAAGAAATAACTATTGATTTTGGATTAAAAGGTTATATGCACGAGGTCACTGCGAATAAATACATAAACTAGTTTATGCAAAATAACTCGAGTATAAACCATTTTCGGTTAACAAATGGTTTGTACCTGAGCAATGGAAGGTCCACGTTGATTTTCGAGGTAGAAATATCAAAGGCAAATGTCACATGTAATTAAAAGAAGTGAGTGGTTTCCACACAAAAACTAAAGTTTTATAAATATACAGTTACCAAACTTTGTCTATGCCTTGCATTTGAGGTACAGGAGAATCTTATCAATTATGGTTTAGAAAGGTCGAAGGTTAAGGTCACTGTCATTGTGAGAAAAAAAAAATTGGATGATACAGAATAACTTTGGTTCTCCACAATGTACAGCAGCAAAACATTACTGATGGATCGCTCTTGCGGTAATAAAAGATCGTGTTGATTTATGATCTATAAAAGTCAAAGGTCAAGGTTACTATGACAAGGAAATGTTTCAGCACAATAATTTGCGTTATCCATCAGATACCGTCACCTGATATTGTCAGTAGCTTGTACTTCGAGTTTAAAACATGTTCATCGATTTTGCGGTCACTCTATCAAAGGTCAAGGTCACTATCTAAAAAAGAAAAACATGTAATTGGCTTCTACACAAAAACTGCACGTTTACACTATAATCAGTTATCAAATTTTGACGATACATTGTACTTTGGCTAAGGGCGAAGATTATCGATTTCTGTGTCGCAAGGTCCAAAACCACAAATGAAACAAAAAATTCATTTATCAACCATATTCCTTCACTAAAGTTTTTAGTGAATGACTTTCCAAAGGTATCAAAGGCAAAAGTCACTGTTACTTAAAAAAGACAAATTATAACTTTATTTCTAGAACGTGTATCTTGATTGATTTGGGGTCAAAAATAGCTACAAGGTACTAGAAAGAAAAAAGTTTGTTTTTTTTTTAGCAGAATGTTTGTTCTAAAATAAGCTAATTAACCAAGCTTTGTGATCAGTTTGCACTTTAGGTAGTAAAGAGACTAGAGTTAAATGTCAGAAGTCACGGTAGTTACAAGTCTAATAAGAAAATAAAGGTTTAGTGAACCTAGGATGACTTTAGGACCACGTACCTTGAACAAAGTTCGAGGTCCCGGAGATCCATTTGTCAATAATCTCCGGAGTCAACCATACTCTTTGGGTGCATGCATGTAGAATTTTAAAGATTGCACGTATAATGTGCCGTTCGAGGTACTCTTGTTAGCATGTCTAACAGCGATTTTTGCTTTGATAAAGAAAGCAGTATTCTCTGCCGTCTTGAGCTAAACAAACAAGAATGCATTCATTTCCTTTTTCTCTAGCACACAGATTTTGTTGTTTATTCACTGGTTTAGTACATACACAGTTATTATTGTCATTTCCGTACATTTTAATGACAGAAGTAATAATAAGTGAAATGTGTTGGTTGGTGTAATATATGTTGTAATTATTATCAGCGTGTGACAGCATTTACTGTTTCACCATAAAATAAATATATGCTGAAACAGTGTCTGTATTGCTTTCAATCATCTAAATGTAAGTGGAATTGAACTGTGCCTGTGAACTCAGTCACACTAGAAAGTTGGAAAAATTCGTACCACTAAGAGCTGTAAAGCCTTTACTTTGCAAATACGGCAAGTGAAGATCAGCAACAAGAGGAAATACAACGGCTTAAAATTAAGGAAAATGGCCTTGAGCAAAGTCCATCCAAAACATACAAAGCACGCAAACTAATCTCAAACGACTTTAAAATCTTAAACCAGAAAAAGTACGGTTTGCACAACAAATTGATGAATTAGAAGCAAGACTGAGTCGATTACTTACGTTAAGTAAGATACATCACAGCAAGTTTGAAGAGTACATCGTAGATTTGGTAACTCTAATTAACGGGCGGAAAAGAAAGCACTATCAAACGTAGTGACGAAGATTTAAACAGACGTCATGGTTGTTCTTATTTCTGGTTTTACGATCTTTCTAGTCATTCTTGTCAAAAAAGACTGAGCCGTAAGTATTTTTTCCCCATTTGTTTGGTTTACCATTGAATTTATAGCGCAGCTGCTATGATATCTGTTTCCACGGTTTTATTAGAATGCATTAGCTAAATTGTTTGCATACGAATCAGGTAGGTGATGTGATGTGATTATAATTTTTAACGCAGCTTTAACAATTTTTCAGTCCTATCGCTACGATGTCTGCAGTGTGGCAGTTTATAATGATGTCTAGCACTGGGGTATGCTCTGAATACAAAGTTGTAAACCATGAAATTAAAAAATCAGTAACTTAAAAATTTGGAGTGCTCTTGACCAAACTTATATTTATCAGTATAGATGAAACCTAGAAGTCTGCTAATGTGCAGAAGAAAGGATATGAGCCTGCATATGTTTGAAACATGTGCTTTCAATTCCGCACCAAAGAGTCAAGTGCTAATTTTAGTAATGAGTCTTCCAAACTCAAGACTATTAAAGAAGAGAAATTCCATCAATAAAAAAGTGTCTTTTTTAATTCAGTTTCAACTAGGATAATTTCTCAAAAGATTCTTTTTCCTAAAACATAACTTACATTATTAACCAATCCTGGTCACCCAAACCCGTGTATACTCTATTAATTGTTCACCCATTTCTTGGCTGGTTCCCATTTGTCAATACAATTAGTACCGTGTGTCCTAAAGTGGGAAAGATCGTGAGAAATCGCTGTTACTTGTTTTTGTTTTGTTTTTCTCAGTCATATTCTGTTTTTCTTTTCAGAAGTATTCATTACAATTTAACTGGTTTAATTGTTTGTTTCTAGTTCACTTTGCAATTTGAACAATTATATTTAATCAAATAATAATAAACCAACATTTGCGTCAGACATCTCCGTCTCTGCTACTAATACTGGTTTATGGTTATGCCAGTTTTATCAGTATACACATGCTAGTGATATAACACCAGCATGTTAGTCCGACATGTCAAGTAATTTCCCTATTTCATCTCAAGTTTTTAGGGGCCCCGAGTAGCCTAGTGGTCTAAAGCGCTGTCCGTTACGGATCACTGCCATCTCACCTCTGTCTGCGTGGGTTTGAGTCTGGGATTCGGCGAATGTGGATATGTGAGAAAGTTTGCCAGTAGCTTCTCGTGGGTCGGTGGTTCTTTCCGGTGATTTCCCGGTTTCTTCCTCCACCATTAATACTGGCCGCCATAAATAGCCTATCGTGTGCTGAAAAATGGCGGTAAGCCCAAAAACAACAACATCTCAAGTTTTTAATATTCTTCATTTTTCGAAAGAAAGAAAAGAATGTCTTTCTGTTTTGTAAGGCATGAAAGCTTATACAAAAGACTAGGAAGAGTTAGAATTTAACGATGAAATCCTTTTCATCTGATAGGCACTTCGGAAAAAGCAGAAGTTATGTTGGAAGAAACTAATGATGACGACCTCTCCAAATGGCAGGGTGTTATCAATAATTAGTTTTCCCCTCATTTAAGTGCCTGTGTTGGTAGGGTCGAGCTCGTAATCCAAGGGTCGCGTGCGCAATACCTTCCCAAGCCAGATTGGGTCAGTGGCCTTGTTGTTGTCTTGGTGAAATCACTTAGCCATTCTTTTACATAACATGGCAACCGATCCGGTGGCCTAGTGGTTAGAGCGTCCGCCTCGGATGCGGGAGATTCGAACATCGGCCGAGTCGCATTAAAGGCATACATTAATGGTACTAACAGCTGCTTCGCTTGGCGCTCAGTATTAAGAGGTTAGTATTAGGACTGGTCGAACTGGTGTCATGATGATGTGACTGGGTGGGGCATCATGTCACATTGTTAGACATCAGTACAAACTGTCACACTGCAGATATAGCAGCGATATGACTGAAAATTGTTAAAGCTACGTTAAAAATCTAAATCACACACACATAACATAGCCAGTAATTTGTTAAAAAAGCCATCGAGAACTGTACCTATGTTACAACAAACTGAATATGGCATGGTATTATAACTGGCTATTGCTGACTTTAAAAAGTTTCTTTTTCTTTTGTGATTTACGGCAAAGCAACGTGGGTCGGTTATTTGGTATTAAGGCAATTAAAGTACTTTGCATGAAAACGGCAGCCGACTGAGGCTGATTTGGAATCCGCACCATTTCGGTCGCAAGCCCTAAACGCTAACCACTAAGCCACAGCGGCTCGAACTTTGAAAAGTAATGTTGTAGTTGCTCACTTCCGACTTGTTTGCTTTTAAAAACTGGTTTCCAAGGCAACCGTATATACACCATTAGTAAATAAAGTGTGATGTTATAAAGAGGATACAGTAACGTTAACAGGTAATGTGTGATATAATTTGCAATTCTGCATTTATTCCAGTACTAGAAGACCTGACAAGCCTGCATAAGCAGAGCGCTAGTGGCATCTTTGCAGTGTTAACGCGTTGAGTGGAAGACGTTGGAAGTCAGTGTCTTCTAATCAGTTGTTATGTTCAGCTGAAACTTTAAAATAATATTATTATGTCTGACGTTTATATGATAGGAGCTCCTGTCCTTGACTGCATAACGTTGGGTATCGTGTTTGTAAAAATGTTAAAGTGATGTGAAAAAGTTTTCGGAAGTCATACCTCGTTTGCATGTTGCTTTATTTCATTGGAACTATCGGATATTATTATTATATGTCTAAAATTGATATCATAATACGTCAAACATAGCTGCCTTGTCTACATAAGCAGTCTAAAATATTTACATAAATAACCAGGTGTTCCTGCATTATCTAAATAAAACAGAAAGCTACAAGTGTTGTAATAGCACCGATTACAAACGAGACACTGTTCTGTGAAAACCCTGCTATTCACATTGCGGTGAATTGACCGCTGAAAGAAATTATGCTCAATAATATAAGAAAAATAAATATTACAAAATGCGTTGTATGGCTGAACTTTTACGGAAAGATAATACAGAAAGGTAATTTAAAAATCTTAACAGATGTAAAATCGTTCTTTTATCTATATAAAATGACAAATTTAAACAACTATAGTGACTATATTTTATACTTGATAGAATTATAACTGCTGTGAAGCACTTAAGTACTCATTAAGATTCAATTGCAAATATGGAATCCATTCGTTGGGCTTTTTTTTAAAAAAAGATGTTTTCTGCATAGGAATGGGGTCGAATTTATTATGCACTCTATTCGTACGGATTCGGTACTACTGCGTGCTAGATATTTTGAAATCAATTTGATGGACTGGTGTTTAGAAAAAAAAAGTTTTGTAAAACAATGAGAATTCTAATTTACTCTGGCTCAGCTAGCACAATGGACATAAAACGTCAGATTTTGTCTGCACTCAGCAGTCATGATTTAAATAGGAAATCAGAAGACCTTGTCTATGTTCCGCGCGACCATTCTTGAAAGTCAGCGCAGATGTTTGCTGTACAACAACATGAATATAACATACGTATAATTTGAAACAGATGACACCTCATACATAATGGCAGCACTGATAAACTGATAATGGCAGCACTGATAAACACTGATAAACCCAATATTCATTGAGATTATCATACAAACAACGATTTGGTCGGTATCTAGTTATAACAGATTTGGATGGTATAAAACGTGTACAAAGATGGTCGTCTTACACGATGACATTCTAGAGAATACAAATTTTGATTTGTTAGTTTCAGTCATAAAAAAGATAATCTTCAAAGCTTCAGAAGAGAGGCAGATTTTCCAATCATTTCACTGTTATAGGCAGCATTAACACTCACAAATTGGTGATAAAAACAGTGTAGTAATAAAATAGATTAAATTACGTATTTGTTGTGGAGACATATACCGATTTGTATTAGCCTAAATTTTGAGTGCAATTCAAAAATCTTGTAAACTTTACGAGATCAATTTACAACGATTCCTCATAAATACAGATAGAATTTAGCCTAGCAAGGATCACTAAAAGCAACATTAAATTTTCAAAGATGAACTTTTAGAATGTGTCGTATATGGGAATAAAACCAATAATATAAAAAGAACAACAATGCATTAGAATAAGTTGGAGTTAAGGCTTGCACAATGCTAATTTGAACGAATCGCAAAACCAGAAGGGAAAAAGAAAAGTCATACAAAAGCAGCAATTAAAATACTGCACATAAAACATGGGACAAGGCGACAACAATGATATGTCAACATGGATAATGAAAGACATCGAAGAGGAAATGAAAAGAGAACATTAGAACAAAACAATTCAAATCAATTCCCTTTTGCAGTGTATTAATATATTTCGAAAGAACCACAATAGTTGGTAACTTGTGGAGTGATTGATTTTGGAATGACACAATTTTTCATTAATTTATGACAAAGACTGAATATGTAAACTTTTTCGATTATATCGCTATCATCTGTCAAAGTTTTCTGTAGAAAAAGATTTGTAATTATCATCGGTTAAAAAAAAAATTGTGATAGATCGTAAGGATAAGCTAGATAAACGGTTAGGTTTACTGGTTGATGTTTACCAAGGTTGAAATACTTTGTTTCTAATTGACGATGGTGGGAATCTTAATAAAATGAAAGTCAAAAATAAAGCGACGAGCCGAACCAATCTAATTTATAGTGGTGGATAGTTTTAAATATCAGTATGGAGGACTGTACAGCTCTGTAATTAAAGATTTCAAAGGCATGCCGCATTTTGGAGGAGTCTGCAAGCAAGGACAAAAAAACAATGAAAACTATCTTCGCTGTAGATGACATATGATCACAGATGACATAAAGCAATATACTATACACACATTAATCTTGAAAAAAAACCCCCACTAACTTTTAATTAGATCCGAGTATCCTTTATATTACGTTATAGGCAAACATGCGTAGCACGATTATACCGGTCTTTGTCCAGTTGAACACAATGCCTTCTGCGCCCAAGGTGAAGTGAATAGTCAGTGTAACGGTATGTTGACTAGTCCATAAGGTAATGTTTTATGTTTTTAACAACAACAAAACAAAAAAAAGCTTGTATCAGATATAGACCATTAAAGTTTTTAATTTGTTTGATTTCATATATCTTGTGATGGTATGAACGAAGTAAATTCATGTTCTAATCAGTTTCTAGTTATATTCCCAATTTTACAACGGGGTGGGGAGATCATGCATTTCTTTCAAACATTATTTTCATTATTATCAGTCCCAATTAATAGTTGAAAGTCTCTAGCTATTCTACCGCTTATGTCATTATTGAATAAATCCATCGATTTATATGTGTTCGCTTGAAAGAATAATAAATGTTGACTTTTGTATAATCACTAGTATAACTGAATTTAAGTCATCCTTAATGTCTCTGTAAATGTTTTGTGTCTCAATATTATTGCATATTCAATCTGTATCACCAAAAAGTTGTCTTTTCACAGTATTTATATTACAGATTGTTTTGGGAGAATTTATACATAAGCATTTTTTGCCTAACTCTAAAACAGTATCCACCAAATATCGCTTCTATAAGCTAGATTTTCTTTCAATTTCTCATGCTTATGGGACGCTGTTTCTTCGTCAATAACTGTTCTCATGCCGACGAGGCACCGTGTCTTCGTCTGTAATTGTTTTCATGCCAATGGGGCACAGTGCCTTCGTCAGTAATTGTTCGACTGGGCAGAATGTCTTCGTTAGTGACTGTTCTCATGGCGATGGGGCATCGTGTCTCCGTCAGTTATTGTTTTCTTGGAGATGACGCACTATGTCCTCGTCAGTAGTTGTTCTCGTGGCGAACAATAAATCCATGAAATATATCTTTAAAAAAAAAACATTTGCTTCGTTTGTACCTGTTTTAACATGGATTTTTTTCTCTTACAAAGACACTTTAACTGTTTTCCAAAAATGATGTGTTCCTCATTAACTCGAAGTTCTTTACAAAATCGGTTTGACCCAAGTTTCTTTTTCTCATGTGGTAACGGAAATTGTTTGGAACGCGTGTGTTAATGTTTTAGAATCTCAAATTCAACTTCAAGTATGCAACCATTATCACTTTTGCCAGGCATTTCGAATATTTTCTTTCCCCCATCTTCATCATTTGCCGATCAGAAGATTTTTACCAGCATGATTGACCTATTGCCGAACCATATAAATTCCTCTTTCCCGTTAGAGGATGAATGATTTTGGTTTTTCCTCATCATACCATCATTTTTTATTATCTTACCAACAGTCTTTGTCTCGTTGTTGGTAGGGCCGTCTGCATAGGTGAAGTTAGCTGGAAGCGAAACAACATGGAATGCTGACGGAAAAACGCTATCTTATTTGCATACAATTTGTTGTATGCTTTTGCGTATTTATAAAAGTGGATGATTTTTTTGTTTGGCCTTTAAAGCCTATCTTCCGCTGATGTGTCTACATATCTTAATTATCTTTTTTTTTTAAAAAAAAAAAAACAAAAACAAAAACAAAAAAAAACAAACTATATCTAACCAGTGTTTACATAATTTTAGGGGGTTATATGAAACGTGACTTCTGCTGCACGTCGTCAGGTGAGATTATTATCGGTTACGTTAAACGCTTATGATAATACATGCGAAACTTCATAGTCTTCCCTGATAAATTGTTGACTCGACTACATTTTCACAGCTAGTTTATATCTGCAGAGATGCACTGGCCTGCTGAAAAATTATCAATAATGCCAACTCAATAACAAAGGTAAGAAACTAATGTTTGTTTTTTTTTTAAATAATAATTTCTGTTGTGTTTTACAAAACAAAGAACAAAAACTTTAAACGATACGAGTAAAAGGTTTATCTTTTGATCAAAATTTCTGCAATTCGTTCCGTAGAACCTGTTGATTCACTTTTCATCTAATCCAGCTCTGTGGTACATACGTGGTACAGAGAGCAAGCTCTATAAATGAATATTCAAGAAATGGGAGTTATTATTGTCAGTAGTTTAGCAAGATCAAGGCGATGTAAATAAAAGTTAAAATCAAATCAGTATAACAGTTCCCTTCCTCCTGAAAAAAAAAACCAACACATTTTGCCATCAATAATCTTACAATATCGTCAAACGGTCTTTATATTTCTGAGACAAAACGTCATAGACACGTGTCATGTTTTGTGATGTAAACAGATTTCTAGTGTTTTAACTTGTATTTGTGCTTAAAAAAGCTACATTCATTTCTCGGTTGTGTCATTTACTGGTATGAAATCGTCACTAAAATAAGGGGACCGCACCGGTGGCCTAAATGGTTAGCGCATTTGTCTCTGATGATGAAAGTGGCGGCTTCGAACTCCATCTGAGTCATACCAAAGACTTACAACAATGGAATTAGCAGCTGCCTCGCTGAGCGCTCGGCATGAAGAGGTTAATGTAAGGACGGGTCGGCCTGATATCAGGATAATGAGATCGGGTGGGACATAATGTTACATGTCTGCAGCACGATGCCCCATAGACCCAACAAGTAGGTCACGAAAACAAAGTGGAGACCTACTTGTTGGTCTAGATGCCCCAGTGCTAGATGTCACTATTAAACTGCCGTAATGCATACGTCATTTGATATTACTCAATTTCTTAAAGCTACATTAAAATTCAAATCACACACACACAAACACTGGTTTGCGCCTCATACGTGTATGGCTGTCTATTCACGTTTATTTTGTGTATGCTGCGACAGGCAAGTTAAATAAATTTGTGCGTGAACCAGCTCGATTTCATACAAGCTTCACGGTGTTCCTAAGATGTTTTAAAAAGCGTTTCATTGATAATATATAATCGTCATATCACCACAGAGCAGTGAAAAGTACAAGAAACTCTAGGAAATCTGGAACAGGATTGATCTACTCTTCAGACTTATTAAATTAGTTTTTGGAATTTCAATCGCATTGGCTTATTTTATTTGCAGATATACAAAATAGTCATAGAATACAAATGAAATCCTTCATGCTTAAAAATAAACTATTATGCTGAGCTATGCAACTGCATTTGATTATTTATCCCCATGGTTGCCAATGCAACAGGTAAAACATATAGGACCTTTGATCTGGCAACTCAATAAACGTGTACCAAATTCTAAAAAGTCGTAATATTTTGGTTTGGTTTACCATTGGTGGGAGCAGTCCGAAAAATCTATCCGCCATACCCTGCTCTGACTTCATCATACCAACAACAGCCAAAACTCAAAATTCGATACAAGTAAAACATATAAAACATCTCGTCATTAGCTGAACATGTGAATATTTTATGAGCCCCCATATGTCTTCACCTGCTAACCTTTTATGTAGTCATCGTCTAATTTGATCATACCTTTGATTAGGATAAATTACCTCTCGCAGCATTTTAATTTGTACAATCCACATTAGTCACGGGGTTATCTGCATACAACATGAATCGGGCCGGGCCCTATCAATATGTGCATCGTATCCAAGAACCTTGGAGTCAGTTAATAACCAGTTCAATTTTCTTTGTTATCACAAAGCACAATATCGGTTTCTTGCCATAGCATGTCATATTTTACAATATGTGTACGACGAGAAGAGCCAGAAACCAACAATAACAAACTGAAAACACATATCTATATATATCTACAATCATTGTTATATCTCTTTGGTGTTTCCTTACCAATGTATAAAAGTGTTGACAATATATTCATTAATCCAGTCTGTGTATATGTCAATCATTTTTAAAACAATTCTAAAGTGGCAATAATATAGTAATACCTTCATAATGCATTTCTATATTGATTAAAAGCAGAATATGATTAAAAAAGTGATATTTTTCTAATTGATTTTATTACAAAAGTTGCTGATTCTTTAATTTATATGTTTTGAAAACTTAAAACTCAATTCGAAGTAGTAAATGATACTATCTTCAATCTGGCCAGAGCTCGTCTATATTTCTCCAACGTAACACAAGCTAAGTATTTTTGAAAACATATCAGTTTGCAATACGCATCATATCTTCACCTTTTGATCAAGCTGCTTTGTCAGAAAACCAGGTTTTTAACGTATTGATCTTCTGTTCTTCGAAAGATAACACTCAATCCCAGCAATCGATTGCGTGTGCGTCATACGTGCGTCTCCATTGAGAACATATGAAACAGGTCAGGTCCCTGCTTTGCAATAAAGTCTGATCAAAAATCACGTGACAAATTTATTCCACCTACGTGACTAACTTGGTGCAAGCTTAAATTTTATTTTGGGCTTGAGATTTTTCAATCGATTTTTAAATTCGTTAAGCTTGAAATGACGGTGACATGACAACGTTGGTTTCAGCAACAAAAAACCCCCAAAAAACCTGGGAAATCATTTGCATATGTAATATTTTTTTAAAAAAAGAACCCCCAACATAAAATATTTGTCGCTCACGCTATAACTAATATCGACATGTGTGAAGTGCTATATTATTTTAGAAGTAAAATCTTTACAGATTCTTTACGGAAAGAGCCCTGCGGCTATTTATACACCTGCTCGGCGGAGGTGTGGGACAAGTTTAAAACTCGAGTTTAGGCATGCCATTCTGTGTTAAACTCTGGACACCTGACTCAACATTATACCACTTCGGTGGCCTAGTGAATAGAGCGTCCGCCTCGGAAGCGGGAAGTCGCGGGTTCGACCACCGGCAGAGTCATACTTAAGACTTACAAAAATGGTACAAACAGCTGCCTCGCTTGGCGCCAGGATAATGTGACTGGGTGGGACATGATGCTACATGTCCGAGTCATGATACTCCAGCCCCAGTGCTAGACATCACTCTAAACTGCCACAATGCAGACATAGTAGCGATATGACTGAAAAATTGTTAAAGCTACGTTAAAAATCCACATTACAAAACAACCCGAATCAACAGTCAGGAAAATGCATTTTAAATTTTAGTAAAAGTCATATAGGATTTCGTTGAGAATTAAAACTAAAAAAACGTTAAGTAATCTCCAGATATTAAATTCGCAAAACTTTCTGTATGCGCATAGTTTTTTTAATGGTGAATGAATCAACTTGACTGCTAAACTTGGATTCATCCAGGACAATAATGTTTTTAAATACAGGAAGTGAGCTGTATCAAAATTAAATAAGATGCTAATCATAGATGATGACAAACATGTCATTTATACTTCACTTTTCTTACATCTTCTATTGGTATAAACAAGAGTGGATTTTTCGTTCATCGCACTCCAATCGGTTTCATTCTCGTGCCTCAGATAAACAGGGTTGTTTAGCCAAGGTATGGTGAAATCTATGGCACGACAAAAAATGTGGATTTCTAGGAAGTCAAACTGAGAGGAGATAGGCCTACTATATCTGTGATTATACAATAACGCAATATTTGTAGTATTAAATGTGAAAACAAACGATAAATTTCAAATTGTATAAATAACTTAAAATTGGAAAGATACAATGCATGAAGTTTTGAACGATTAAAATCTGATATAATATTTTTCATTCAGGCACCATTATCGCCATTACAAAATAGACAAGAGGAACCATTTGTTTGCTGCCCGTCACTCGGTGCGCCAATTATAAATATATAATGTAATAGATACCTTTGCATTCAGTATGCTGATTACTGGCATATGTCAATAAATGAAAACAAGATTCAATACCGTTAATTAATAGTTAATGCGTCAATGCAATTTACAGATAATGTAAATATTTGTCATCGGTATCTTTTGGTGCCTGCCTCTTTGTAATACATGCTAACGGTGTAAATGAGTAAGAAATTTACTTGCTAAACAAAAGATAACAATATAAGCAAATAAATTTGTTAATTCAAGTTTCTTTACTGATTTCTTCTGACGATAGGCAATAATAATTAAAGATATACAATCATGCTGTACAAGAACGGGAATTAGGAAGGTTTCATTGATGGAATTTCACCTGGCACACGAACTATTTTAAGCTTGTCGCTTTGACGTGAACGAATTGCAACGGTTTCTGCAAAGCCGATAAAATGCTGAAAATTCATATCTTAAACATTTTTTTTACTCCGAAGTTACAACACAAAAGGGATATATTCCAGATGTGATCGGAATTCTTATTATTATTGATTTATTGCTGGTGACTAAAATTGCAAAGAAAATTGAAGTTGACTTATAATTGTTACTGAATGGAAGTTCACAAGATATTTCCGCTTTTATTAAACGAGGACGCGACCTTTTCATTTATGAAATAAGCCTGGAAAATAAGTCACACCGAGCCCGTTTTTTTATGTAGGACATACATTAATCCACAGATGCACCTATAAAGTGGTTTTGGTATCAGAGTTTGCTCATCCAAAAATCCAAACAAAGTGCATTTTATGGTGTCGATAGGTGATAGATTTTGGTTTAAGAATGTTCGTACGATTGCTAAACAAATCCTGAAAAAGTATCAGCAACGAAGGTCACACGTCATCTCACAATGTAAACCTCGTGCAACTTTAGTGGCAATTGATGAAAAGGTATTGGAATTCGAACACAACTCTTTATTTTTCTTCTGAAATAAGGATTCCAAAGCCCCAGGACACAAGTCAGAACAACCATAGTTTGGTGTGAGACATTAATCAATAGAAACACCCATAACGCAGTTTTGGTGGAACTGATAAAATGCTTCAGGAATTAGAGCAAGAACACAATTACTAAGTAATGTCAAGTAAACCATGAAAATCAAATCAAAAAGCAATAGAGTTTGGCGCTAAGCATTTATTTATCCAAATATGCAAAGTGCAATTAATGGTTGCAAGAGGTAAAACGTAAAAGAGGTCCAGGTGGTTTTGAGTTCACTCACGTGTTTAATATGATTTAACAGTTAGTGATTTCACTAAGCTAACTTCGGTTGAATTAAGATGTTGATTAGTTACTTGTTCAGATAGTTTTAATGCTTTTATTAAAACACATTTTGCAATATCGTGCCGAGAACACAACTCTATGGAGTAGTATCCTAAACTTTAATATCATTTATTTTTTTTAAATATAGTCTAACAAAAATTCTTTCTAAAGCTAAAGACACAATGAATTTGCATGCTCATGATCGAAATCATCAAAAATATTGTTGATATAAACCTATTTAAGAAAAGCGTTGACGAAATCGGACGAGAAATATCATCCCTAGATCTAGAGAAATAAAAATCTCAGTCAACAAGATGGAAGCTCATCTCGTCAGTTGTCTTCAGATCTCATTTATTACAGAACATCTTTTAGGACAATAAAATAAGCTAATTTATCACGTTTGATCAAGCTCTAATCAGACAAATTTGTTGCCAGTGGTAACAACCTCAGCAAGTTTGACGCAAGATCCCGTTATTAACATGTTTGTATCAACCTTGTGTAAGTTTTCTTATTTTAATCAATTGATTTATTATACTTAATTATAATATCACGTAATCTGCAGCACTAAAAATAAAGATGATCATTAAGTTTTGGGGGATTTTTTGGGTGGTGGTGACATCTCTTTATATTTAGTCTAAAAACTACAAGGTATTCCCCCTACCTAACTGTATGGATACCTACAGGTTTCGTAATATGTTTGGATAAATGCTATATTATACGATTTAGTGTTGTTGTTTCTTTTTTTATTTCGGGGTGATTGTAGTTTTTGAAATAAATTTGAATTTAATAGTAGGGGTTTTGTTCTTTACAGATCGGTTTTTATATTTTTTTAAACATTTTTTTGTATATATAATTATTTTTTTCATCGTATCTCTTCTCCTAGCTCCTCGTCAAAGTCGAGCTTGCAGTAATTTCTTTCTCTCCTGTTGTTTCTTGAGGCTCCGGTTTGGATTTTTTTCTTCAGTCTTTGTTCTGTTGGCATCGTTTCTAGTTTTTGTAACTTGTGGTTTCTCAACTGTTTTTACTTTTTGCTTTTGTCGCCGAATATTTGTGATATATCATTTTGTTGTTGTTTATTCTTGTACTTCTTTCTGTTGCTCTTTTGACTGTTGTTATTTGTTGTTGCTTGCCATTCCCTGTTTCTCCCTTGTTTTGTTTTTTAGTTGTTTATTTTTTTTTCTTTCTCTGCTGTTGTTGCTGCTGTTTGCGAAAGATTGTTAATTCTCTAATACGAGTTATTCCTAGTTGTTTCGTCTGCTCTTGTGTTGGACACTTCTTAGACACGTATCCTACCTTTCCACATTTATTGCATTGTCTATGGTGGATACATCCTCTGTACCATGTTTTAACAAAAAATCCACGTAGAAAGATTACTTTTTTCATTGTATAGAGTTTTTCCTTTACTATTCCTAAAATTCTAATTCCATTTAATACTGGATATCCAGGATGCGTGTCCATTCTAGCTTTTCCTACTTTTGTTTGGAATTTCTATTCAAAACGCTCAATTATGGCTTCTAATGGGATTTCGAGAGTATGTCCAATATATGCAATTCTCCTTTTGATTTTCCACATAATTGGCTCTGGCTCTTTGACTATTGCTGTTTCAGTTCCTTTTGTTCCATAGGGTATGACAGTAGTATAGGAAAATGAGAGTTTTGGCCCCCCACACCTCCTCCCCCACCCCCGCCAAACCATCAGTTCCCTATACTACTACTACGTAGACAGATATTTTGTAACCAGACAAAACAACTGGTGTTGGAATGCTCACCCCACCCAAAACCTCTTGTTTCCCTATACTACTACTATGTAGACAGATATTGTGTAACCAGACAAAACAACAGGTGTTGGAATGCGATAAGCTCTGTCAACAGAAGTGACGAATTTGTTAGAACAGCGTATGTGTGGAATATGATTATTCTAAAGACGGCAAATAGGTTTTACCACAATTTTTTTTTCAAATAACAGGATGAAAATTAAACTGTGCATTAGAACGTTTCAGTTAACAAGGCGGAAATTAAACTAGCATTAGAATGAAAATGATATTATTTTAGTTATATTATATCTTAAGTTTAGATAAAATTTTATGTTACTCATATTTTTTGTGATATTTTTTTTTCATACTTGCTAACCCTCATTGGTAGAATATCTGTTAACATATTGTCAATAATACGAAATTCACGTAATAAATCATCCATATTATATTTAACTCCTCGTAGGTAAGACCGGATCTGATCAAGTAGTTTCTTGTAAGTTTTAATTGATGTTAAACAACCGTGCTTCTTTATCAAAAGTCTTGGTTCTACTTTTTACACGCCGCTGTAAGTGAAACACCAATAGCGGATATGATTAACAAAAAAGGATTTAATGATACCCCACTTGAAATTATACCAGAACTGGTCATTAACAAGGGTAGATAAGATATTACTCGAAGGATCTTGTTGTAGTATTTGTAACATTTTTTCACGCACTAAAGTTTTTTTTTTATGATAATATTTATAGTATTGTATTAATGCGTCTACATCTTGTTTTGGAATATCTTTTGAAATATGATTGAAATCAACTATACTTTTTTTCATTATAATATTAGTTCACATAGTCCTATGTTTGGATAATCCATAATAAGAGCTGGTTGTTCAGCTATAAATTCCAAACACCAGAGAAAAATTGCTAATTTTAAAGTTTTATCAACTGGTTCAAGTACAAATTCTTCTTCAGAATTTTTGTTTATTATTACAGATAATACTCCAGATGAGTCATCATTTGGATGACGAAATAGATATTTGGTAGATATTCTAAACTTTGCACTGCTAAGCACTGACAATCTATA